CTTGTACGTATTTGATTATGTGGAATATCGTCCAATAGTTCTTTTAAATTCAAATTAAATATTTTTTAATTTTGAATTAACGCTTTTTTTAAAGTATTCAGAAAACTAGAACTGATATTATTTAGGAATTTTTTTTTATAACGATAAAACAATTGGGCTCTTTGAATACCTAAAAACTAATAATTAAGATTAAATTTATCACAATACTTTCACGAAGAATCAATATGACACCATAGGAATAACACTTTATGCTCTGAAGATGACCCGAATAAGGGTCGAAACGTCGGCAAAAAAAGAAAAAGGTGTTTTTCTAAACTATCTCATTTTTGGCCGCTCCTAGTGATTTCAACAAATTAAAATTTGTATTAAATTAAATATAAAAAATAAATGGTACCTCTAATAATTCGACGTCTGATTAAAATTTAAAACAATTAGTCTATGTGATAATTATTTAACGTGTTCAAACAATTTCGGATTAATTGAAGAAACATTTGTTTTTATATGTAATTCTAAATAACTTAATGTTAAGAACCCATTTATATTTTTAAAATATTCTAAAAAAAATTCTTTAGTTTATATGCGAGTTATATACATTTTAATCCAATAATTATTCAGAAATCGTGAGATGCGATCTGATGTTGTGTAGGTTTCAGAAAAACATTTTCTTTATCGTGCCAACGTTTCGATCTTTATTGAGATCATCTTCAGGGCTCAAAGTGTTTGTCTTCTGTGTAATTGTGCCATTTTTGCGAGTCGTGTTGAGAGGGCACTCTTGGCAAAGAATGGCACAATTACACAGAAGACAAACACTTTGAGCCCTGAAGATGATCTCAATAAAGATCGAAACGTTGGCACGATAAAGAAAATATTTTTCTGAAACCTACATCACACCAGACCGCATCTCACGATTTCTGAATAATTATCGATTAACGGTAACTAATCACGACAGATTTTAATACAATAATAATTTATTATTCATAAAGTCTTCTAGTGTCCAATTGTTTTATAAATAAAACAAATTCTCACATATACAGGAATTTTACTTTACATATATTTTATACCATATTCTAAGTTTTTAATGCTTAAAAAAGGTTAGTTTGATTTAAAAGAGGTTAATACGAAGTCAAAAGGGTTAAATTTTAATTGAAATGACAACTTCGAGATTTAAAAAAGGGCTGATTTCAAATTTAAAAAACAAGTTTAACACCAGTTTTTGTTTGTTCTGCATTAGTGGATTTTTAAGGCAGCTATGACAGTGGATTTATGCCTTTAGCATAAAATAAATGACGGAAAAAATATGTAATATATATATACATATCTCTAACTCTTTACGATGAGCAAATTTTCTCTTTTCAAATATATTTTTTCATTGAAGTGAGCCATCGATTGAAACTTGTAATTATCCGATGGAGTAATGTTAGGACTATATAGCGGTTGTGGTAGGAGTTTGAAGGCACTTCTATTCTGACTTTTTTTGTGTGTTTCCTATGCCATAACCTTCTAGACTAAAAATGAATTCTATATATTTCTATTTATCTTTCTATTAAAACAAATGCGTTTTCGACCTAAACAATAAAAATTAATTTGTTTTGCACATTATAAAAACTTTCGGAAATGAGTGTTACTATTTTTAATTCTGGTAGTTCTTTTTTGTTTCGGGAGACGTTGAAGGGCTTTAGCTTCATTAAGTCTATTGTGCCAGAATCCACTTAACTCTGAGTTCGCAAAGAAACTTGAAGGTTTTTCTTTTTTATGAAACCGAGTTAACTCGAGGAGAAACAAAGTTGATAGGCAAGCCTGGATCTGTTTCTGGCTAATCTTTCGCATTACAAGACAAAGGTAAGCGGTCTTTTATACAATCTCAGTGTATCCTGCACAAGTTTCATTTCCTACTCGGTATTTGAACAAGTCACTTGACTGAACGAGTACGATATTTGACCGAGAGTTTGAAGTCTCGAGTTGAAGACAAAGTTGAAGTTAATTGTTCTTTTACTATTTTTGTTAGTACATTTTACTTCTAGAAGGTTACACTTTACGTTTTTTTAGATAACTGTTAAATCAGAAGTTCAACGGTTTTAAATTTAACAATCTTGTACTATTTCCTCTTGAAAACTACGAGGTGAAACTGTCTCTCATCAAACTCCGTTGTAATTTTGGTTGTTTTCATTTCAAAAACGAAAGTTCGTATTGTTTGTTTGGCCAAGTGAATTCGCCCACGCATTAAAATAGTAATTAGCTAATTACTAATTTCAGTAATTACAAAGAAATATTGATTTATATTTCAGATTTGCACTCTCTCTTTTTTTCTATTCGATATATATCACCACCTTTTTTCTATTCTTCCTATTTCACGTGCTCTTTATACTTTTCACGGTTTCGTTTTCTCTCGCCATTCTAAATTTTTTCTTTCGATGTATATACGTAGAATCTCTTTTTCATATTCTATGTCGTTTTGTTTTGTTATTTTAATTTTCTTTGTTTTCAATGTATCTTCGTCTCATTTCACATTTCACTGTCTTCTTTATATGTCTGTCTGCCTGCCTGATTTCGGCCTGTCTGTCTAACTGTCTAAAACTATAAACATATATATACTATTCATGCGTGTGTGTTCATTACCTGCAGAGCTCAATATTATGAAAATTTCAATTAATTATTCCCCCGAAGGCCTGAAGATGATCTCAATAATGATCGAAACGTTGGCACGATAAAGAAAATGTTTTTCTGAAACCTACATCACACCAGACCGCATCTTACGATTTCTGAATAATTATCGATTAACGGTCAATCATCACCACATGTTAATTATTCTTTTTATGTAAAATCTTGGGTGAGATATGACAATTTAACTGCCGAAGAAGACTCTCATTTCATGTTTGCATCAAATAGTTGCCAGATCCATCTTATTTCGGGTTACGATTGGCCAAATAACTTCTTTCAATTAATTAATCTTTATGTAAGGTATTGGTTGAAATGAAAAAGTTAGTGACACGAGCGGGATTCGAACCCACGACCTTCGGCTCAATACGCCGCTGCTGTAACCAATTGAGCTATCGTGTTGAGGAGTTCATGTCCGAGTGGATCGAAGTCAGGATAGCTCAAGTGGTTAGAACAGCGGCGTATTGAGCCGAAGTTGTAGGTTCGAATCCCGCTCGTGACATTAACTTTTTCTTCTTTTACATAAAAAGAATAATTAATTGAAATATTTTTTTTTTTTTACTTAGACCGGTAAAACCATAAATGGATTATGAAAATTGCCTTGCTTGTCCTAGATCCAAGGCAATTTAATCCCTTACAATAACCAAAATCAATTTTCTTTTTTTAAATATATTGTTCATTGACTAAAGTCATGGATTGAAACTTGTAATTAAGTGAGGGATCAACGTCTGGACTATATAGCGGTTGTAGTAGAAGTTTGATGGTACGAAAATTTTCTGAGTTCTCTTTTTTCTTGCTTGGCTGATGTGGTAAAGACTGCACCAAGCTTACAATAAAACAATTAATTAAGGTTTTTCTCTTCACATCTCAACCGCACGTTTTGAATTTTTCCTCCTTTTTGCCATTTTTCAAATGTCGTGAAATCTATTCGATTCCCGGCGACAAATGAAATGGCGGTTGTGATGGGAAGTTGGTGTCCTAGTGGATCGACGTCACGATAGCTCAAGTGGTAGAACAGCGGCGTATCAAGCCGAAGATCGTGGGTTCGAATCCCGCTCGTGACATTGACTTTTTTATCTCAACTAAAAACCTTAATTAATTGTAATATATTAATTGGTCAAGCGGACCACGAAATTAGTGAATTTAACATTATCTTCACATTATTTTTCTTTCTGCTTCCCTTCAAACTAATCCCTCTCACACTATCTCACCCACTTCCTCTCTCTTCTTTTTGCTTGCTCTCTCACTCTCTCTTTCTCTCTCTCTCTCTCTCTCTCTCTCTCTCACTCTCTCTCTCTCTCTCTCTCTCACACACACAATACACACAGACACAGACACAGACACAGACACACAGACACACACACACACAGACACACACACACACACACACACACACACACACACACACACACACATTCAGTGATACCAGTTTCCAGGCATCTGGTATAAAACGCGCCAAGACCAAGTAAGTTACAGTGATAGTCTATATGGAAATACACTAAGGACTAGAATTCATACAAATCTTGTGCAAAATGTCATTGTCTTTATACCAAAAGAGAGGAGATTTATAGGCTGTTATTACCATTAAACGATAAGCATAACACATGGACAAAATTTTGGCACTAAAGGGGCCTCATCGGTATAAAGTCCAGAGCCTTTAGGATGGCATCAATGCCACGTCAGATAGTGACGAGAAAAATTAAATTTGGATACTATATCATACACTGTAAACGGTAACGAGGAGGCTGATAAATTTTCCAAGGGAAGTTCAATGAGAATATCTATTGGCTCTGAACTTGAAGCTGCAGAAACAACCCCGTGTAGATATGTTTTTTTTTACGTTTGCAGCAGAGGTTATATGAACCCTCGGGGTGTATTTGAAAAACGTCCGATTGTTTGTATGTAGGGTTTGAATGCAGAGTCGCTGGATTCGAACTCGGGACCTTTATCTTACAGCATAAACCGCAACGTCCTCGCTGAACGAGTTTAATTAATTTATTCTTTTTGTTTTAATCCACATTTTACGGAACATGTCTCTCTCTCTCTCTCTCTCTCTCTCTCTCTCTCTCTCTCTCTCTCTCTCTCTCTCTCTCTTTCTCGCTGTTTTCTATTCTACCAGTTTTCTATTTATACCAATCTTTTATACCGCAATTGCTTTTCCAATAATAACACTATTTTATTTATACTTTATCTGTTCCGTCAGAACCTTGAAACTAATCCTTCATAAATTGTATAAATTTTTACCAATTTTTGTACTAATGTTTTTCATTATTATGATCTTATGCTTTTTTTTTAGGTTATGATGTTTAAAAGTATAAGCTAACTATACATAAAAATTTAATTACCTATAATGTTGAATTCGTCTCTCGGTGGCGTGCAGTCCGTGTGGTATGTGCAAGTAGGCTCGGAAATTCCCAGGTCATCAACGTCTGCTAGCTTCAGCTGGCCGTCCACCAGGACAAACTGCTGACGTTTGAGATCAGTAACCGCAAGGGAGCCGAGAGACGAATGGGCCAAATGGTGAAGAAGAGACGCAATGCTGTAGGCAACCTTAAACACAAAACCAAAAATGATTAAACTTTAAATGTTAGATCTTATAAACAATTTTTGTGTGGATGCGTTAGTTTGGTGGAAATTCCAATCGGGGAAGTTTTGTTGAAAAAGAGGTCGAAACGGCAAAGTAAAAAACTTTTTTGACGTCAGAATAAACGAGATGGACTGTGATTTTGTCCGAAAATTCCATACTGTCCTTACTATTCACGCCTGCCAAAAGAAAATCTGTCACGAAAGCAAGTTGTGTTTGAGACAAACGGAACGATTTCCCATTTTCTCAGTTCTTGCCGTCCTGTCAGAGGCACGCCGTCGGCCAGTACTCGAATAAATGTGGCAAATACGTGTATTCTCTTGCTCTATCTTTCGAGTGGAAAAACGTCGATTCTTTTCGGCAACATATTTCTATTATTGGCCCTAAACGGTTATTTCTTTCATGGAACGTGACGCCACCGGGAAAATTTTTTCTCTTGGATAAAAATAATTGAAATACCGATGAATCCCTGTTAATAAAACATGAAATAAAGAACACAGAAAATAATTTGTATTTTAACAAAATATAATCCTTCATGGCATTTTGTCTCATATTAGCCAGAGTGCGTATCACTGATAAAGAATATTTTAAGAGGAGCGGGTCTGAAATTAAAGCAACGACACTGAGGATCGAACCTAGACTGCCGGATTCACCGAGAGTGAAACACACCTTGTTAAAAGAGTTGTATTCAGCCAAATTTATGTACACAAAAATTATAAAGATACTTTCCTAAAACTGAATCATTTGGCCCTTCCTCTTTTTGTCACCACCCAATTCAAAGTGCTTACTACTTGAGCGGCACTTGCTTGCGGTATTTGCATTCCGTGTATTCCATTCTCAGCACAATTTTCTTAGTGGTTTTAGCCTTTTTTTCTGAAAATCGGCTTTGTCTGACCACCGTATCCCTGTTGTTTATGGTCGTATCTCCTCCTACCCTGGGAGGCGTGCCTTTCCTTCGACTTCTTGTACTGGGTCACCTTATGAAGCGTGTGCACTTTGCACTTCTTGCAGAAAGTACGCATCTGGTTTTTTTCCTTATGATCTATCTATGCATATTAACCATGGTGACGAATTTTTGTATGTGTGTTCATATTTTGGGAGGGGTTATCGTGAAAAAAGGGCCAGAGGCGACGGTGGGAATCGAATCCACGACCACGGAGTCTATGAGTCTATGAGCCGAGAGTCTCTCACGCTAACCACTCGGCTACCACGGTCCCGTATTATATTAAGCAGGGTGGGCTACCAAGACCCTAGGGGTTAAATGCTTGGGTAGAATCGTACCCCGTCCCTAAAAGGTAAGTCGCCTCACGTGTCCTGCATAAATCTCTTTGACCTGTGTCCACAAACCCGAAGATTTTGTACTATTTAATCTCGGGGAGTGATTTGGTGAAGTCCGCTCCTTCAAAGATTTCAAAGCTAGACCTAGCACCTATCACACGCTGCGAGGTAGTGCCTTGCCGTTTCTTATTTTATTTCGTAAAAACGGCAAAAGCGATCTGGTAGGATACCCATTACGAAGAGCTGTCTTCTCAGTGGGCAGTGGCCCGTCAGAATACCTATCAGCCTCCTAATTCCCTTCCTTGAGTTAGAGAATAGCCATTTCGATTCTGCTGGTTTGATCGCCTTAACAAACTCTTTCGATTGCTTGTGTCCGAGGGATAAATTCCACTCCCTAAGGAATTGTTTCATGCCCCAGTTATTAATACTCTCTTTCGCTGTGCTCATAGAGTCAGGTAACACCGGTTGTGGTCCGACAAACGCAGTATTAGAACCTTCTTTGGCTAGGCCATCCGCCTTTTCATTGCCATGGTGTCCTTTATGTGCTGGTATCCAAATAAGGGTTACCTTGTTCTCCAACCTGGAAGAGATTCTACTGATAAGATCTACATTTTCCTCCACCAGTTGTGAGGTTGACAAATCTTTTTGTAATGCCCTAAGACTAGCCTGACTGTCAGAAAAACTTCTAATATCTTTTCCTTTAATTTTACAATGGCCCAGATTTCCGCCTGAAAAACGAAGGTGTTATTACCAAGAAGGGAGGAGATGCCGATGCCTAATTTTGGTATGTACATTCCTGCACCACGCCCTCTACCTCTGGTAAGTGATCCATCTGTGTAGCAGTCTATGTTACGATGCTCATCATCCAAAGTATAATTATAATTACAAGGGGTGACTACCTGAAAGTGTTTTTTCCCCGAAGGGGTTTTAATCTTTTTATCACTAACGCTTAATAATTGACCGTTGACCTTACTCAATTGTTGTGAGATTTTCGAGTGACCTATGTTATTGCACTTATATTCCACCTGCCCTCGCTAATTAATCGAGCTGATTAGTGCCCTGACCTTAACCTCAATGTGAAGAGGTATGTTATTGGTTATGATTTCAAGTGCTAAGGTAGGTGTAGTTGAAAATGCTCCTGTCATCATCAAACAACCTAATCTTTGAAATGACCTTAATTTATTACTGTTTCCTTTATTTTCTAGACCTTTCCACCATACTAAAGCTGCAAAAATAATCATTAAGACAGCGCTACAACGCTACAAGCAATTTAGTCGACTATATTGAATCTATTCTATCGAATAATGTGCCACTGGATTCGAACCCTGGACCTTTAACTTACAGTAGTGAGCACCGTTTAAACCCCTGAACTATTGCGGCCACCGACGCCTCGGAATTTGTGTTTCCTTATTTCTCAGTTATATAGTAAAATCGATGAAAAATCGATATTATACGACAATAGACAGCGTTCTGGACAGTGACTGGATAGGCGTGAAATACAAGTTCACTTCCCAAAACCAAACATACACCCAAAAAAATTATTCAGTACAGCTCAATCCTGGTGAAACCATCACTGCTGGAAAGTACTGTATGAAATTAATGAGATGGAACTAAAACTGCGACATTTATGGCATTAATCAATCGGAAGTGGCCTATCTTCCTTCCAGACAACGCACGCCCACACGTCGCACAACGGAATCTGTCACGTCTTCATGAGTTAGGTTAAGAGGCTTTACCGCATCCACCATACACACCGGATCTTTCTCCTATTCATTTTTAAACATCTCAGCAATTTTTGTGCGAGAAATGGTTCATAAGCCAAAATGAAATTGAAAATGCATTTCAGGATTCTAGAGATCCTAGTTTCTACTCAAAGCATTCATTCTGCTTTGGGAAAAATGTAGAGATAGTAATGGAAGTTGTTTCGATTATATATATTTTATTGAAGTTAGGTTGTAGCTTGCTTTTACTTAACGTTAAAAATCATCATTATTTTTGCATCAATCTAATATAAAATTTTAAACTCAACCCAATATTTTATATACCTAATTTTGAAGCGACATTACTCTGTTTTTAAAGAATTTGGATTTACCTATTTATGAATATAGAGGGAAAACGAGTGAAGCCAAGCGATCAAGTCAAGTACTTGGGAGTAATATTAGGCGATACCCTAAACCCAGTACACCACGCTATTAAAATAAGGGAAACGACAAGAAGGGTGTACAATAGATTGAGCGTAATAGCGAGAGTGGAATATGGACTAGCACAAAAGCTCTCCACAATCTATAAAAGTGTCTTCCTCCCAATAGTAAGTTATGGTGCAGCCAGATGGGCCAAAGCAGCTAGCAAAAGCAAAGCTATAATAGAACAAAGCCAACGAATAGCTCTTATAAGAACCACAAAAGGGTACAGGACAATTTCAACACATGCCCTACAAGTATAGACAACGCACCGCCAATAGACCTAGTCCTTAACGAAAGGGTGATCATCCACCAAAAAAAGAAAAATGAGGCTAGTGATATAGGAACAAGCCAAGGAGAAATAGACTGGTTCCGAAGCACAACGGTGAAGGAGGCAAAAGAGTACTAGGGAAAAATGACTATGGCATCATGGCAAGAAAGATGGACAAATAGCAATAAAGGTCGACTAACATCCAAATTTTTCCCAAGCGTTGAAAAAAGACGAAAAGCAAAATGGCTACACCCCGACTACTGGACAACCCAAATGCTATCAGGACATGGAAATTTCGCAAGCTATCTTCATAAATATAAGAAAAGAGAAAGCCCTTTATGCTCTGTTTGGAGCACTGAAGAAGGCGCCTAAACTCTTCAGCTGTATCAAATTCAAGGAAGAAAGAGAACGTTTGCGAAAGACCATCACCTCAGCAGAATGGCCGCCTAATCTCCAAAAGCTAGTCTGTGATATCAAATCATTTGAAGCACTAAAAGACTTTGCCCCAAATACGCTTAAATGAACAAGTCCCTATTTATTCTAATTATTAAGTCCTAAATATTGTTATTATTGTTAGAGTTTTATTACCGTTATTTATTGCATAATTAAACATATGCTTAGGTTTAGGGTTCCGGGCTGTTTTCCTCTTTTTAGTAAGAACATTTTAGATAATATAAATAAATAGAAAATAAAACCAAGGAAAAGTAAATGTGCAAGGGGAAACCAGCAAGGGAAGACCTTTTGTTTTAGGTTCTAAAATGAAAATATGGTCCCTTCAAAAACCGACCAGCGGTCTCGCCCGAAGGAAAGATCGTTGGGAGGTATTTTTATCCCATTTATTTGAAATCCCTTAGATATACAAATCCGATTAAGCTAAAGCGTTTGTCCGCCGGTATGGGGTCTTCCTCAGGTACGGCGGGGTGGTGGAAAGGGTAAAAAAAAAGTGACAACTAACGCATGACGAGGAAAAATTGGGATAAGTCGTTTTGGATCATTTTGGTTTACTGTTCCTTGATGATTTTTGATCTTTTCAATTTTTAATAATAATTTTAATTGAAGTTATCTGACTTTATAAAGCAATACACATTTTAATTATTAGTCCTTTTAAGATCAAACATCCACTCAAAAATATTTTTCTAGTTAGTTAATAAAATAATTTCATTACAATATTGATTTTTCCAACGGTAAAAAATAATATCAACGCTTCGCTTATAATTTTATCAGTTAATTGAAAAAAAAAAACTGGGTCAATTAAGAGTGTAAAGCAAAGAATAAAGGTTTAAAGCAAACGGTCCGTACTAATTTTAAACGCATAAGAAATGTCAAAAACATCCAGGATTAGAATCTAATTAAATATAGGATTTTATCTTTGATGACCAGTGTTGTGAAAAAATCTACTCGCATATCGACAATCAATCGTTCTCTCCATACCCGCAACTTTCACATCATTAATCTGGCACCAGGGATGATAGATGGTGTTCACTAATCCTTGAATATTGAGGTCAATATTAAAGTACTAATACGCTGATGTATTAACCAGAGAGGGATTGGGATACACCATTCGACCGAACAGATTCATCAATACATAAATTGTTAATGAATATTCAACCGGCGCCCTCGTCGATGATATCCTGACAAACGGAAATCCTGATTGCGAATTGTTACGAGGCTCGTGTTTAAAACAGGAAAATTCCGAAATAAGGAAAATTTTTTGAAGCGTAATAATTACGTTTCAACGATTTCCATGATGGGAAATCAGATTACAATACAAAAAGTCACATCAAGGTTGCTATAAAATTAAAAGGCCTAAAATTTCATAAAAATAAACAATCAATAACTAGTTGTGGTTAAGAAAAAATAAGAACGTTGAAAATGGAGGAATTGATTCAATGAAAAACGCAAACCTGCAAACAACCACAATTATTAAACAAAGAACATACAAACAAATAAAAATAATACTTGCTTAATTAGTCATTGACGTAAACATGTAGCTTTTTCCTGCAATTAAGCTTTTTAATTAGAAATTAACCATTTTAAACTCAAAATTAACCTTTCTTTTTTAATGTATGGTGTTTAGTGACCGTTAATTAATGATTATTTGGAGGTCGTGAGATGCGGCCTGGTGTGACCTAGGTTTAGAAAAGCATTTTCTTTATCGCCCCAACGTTTCGAACTTTATTGAGATCATCTTCAGGGCGTGGGATTTACAAATTGTTTAAATTATACAAATACATATAGAATGTGGAAAACCAAGTATAATTTATACTTTGTTTGTAAATCCCAGGACCTGAAGATGATCTCAATGAAGGTTGAAACATTGGCATGATAAATACAATGTTTTTCTAAAACCTACGTCACACCAGACCGCATCTCACGATCTCCGAATAATTTCTTTATCAAATCTTGGAGTCGGCAAACTACATTGGATATCGCCAGCTTTCTGTTCCTTACCATTGCGTATCTTTGCTTATTTTCCTCGCCGTTTTAAAACCCAGGGAAGTTATGATCTTTTATGGTAAAACCGCTGCACCTCCGGCCTTTGTTAATGTTCCCAGTCCATTCACTCTAATAAATTATCACACCCCAGATTTCTTTTACAATAAAGTACAATTCTCAATAGTGCTTAGAGTAATAGAAGATAAGTTCTCCATTCTCGCTAATAAATTACATTCACACCTGATGCCGTTCATACTACCCGGGGTACTCAATATTCCTCGGTATCCCCGCAAATAAATTATATTCACATACCAGACCTCGTTTACACTACCCAGGGTACTCAGTATTTCACAGGGTAATTGGTGATAAGCCTCTCCATTCACGCTAATAAATGACCACACACCAGACTTGGTTTACACTACCTGGGGTACTCAGTATTCCTCGGGGTAATTAGGGATATACTTCTCCTTTCACGCTAATAAAATACACCCACACGCCAGACTTGGTTTACACTACCCGGGGTACTCAGTATTCCTCAGGGTAATTGGTGATAGGCCTCTCCAGTGGTCAGCGATCTATGTCTGCTGCCATGCCCCAAGCCATAGGTCATTCGGGATGTCTAGTTATGTTATTATAAGCGTTCCACACGAGGGCATCTACGTGCCATGATCTTCTCGACCCACCCTCCGCAGACAAGGGCCCGAAGCCTTATTTACATTTACTAAATTTATATGCGTTTCTTTCGTTCCAGCGGATTCTGCATTCATTTTTTATAGCATTGCCCATCGTCTTTGTAAATCTGCTGGACCTACTGAGTTCGTGGGGGTCGTGTGATCTGATCGTGGCTAACTTCGCTGTCTGATCTATTTGTTCGTTTCCGGTTAAACAAATATGGCCGGGAACCCATGACATGACGACCTTTTTCCCCACTGACTAACCTCCTCACCGAAATAAACAAAACTAACCAAGGTAGCGTAAATATACGTAAAAAACTATCACCTGAGTTTGAAAAATAAAATAATTAAAGCACGAACAATTAATTAATTTTTTTTTAGATATAACAATTCAATTATATATAATCTTAAAAGAGACGGAAGAGGGAGAGAGAGAGAGTGTGAGGGAGAGAAAGAGAGAGAGAGAGAGAGAGAGAGAGAGAGAAAATTCCCAATTTTCAAAAATATTCAAATAGATGGATGTGACATTTAATAAAGGAAAATATTTTTCATAAAAGAGCTACTCTACATTAAACAAATCTATTGGGCTGTAAGCATTTAGGGCTTAGTACGAACCAAATGTAATTAGAAAAATGATGAACATTTTGTTGCCTACAGTTAAAAAAATAAAACATTTCATTTGATGATTTGAAGTTCAGTAGAACCATAAGGAAAAAGTGAACGATTTTTTTTTTAATTTTTGCTCCAATGCTTGTAAGCAATGAACGCAAAGAAAAAAGGTTTGTCAAGTTTTCTTAAATCTTTTTTCGGAATTTTTTTTCTTACGCACCAGCTTATTCCGATCATGGGATGAGAAACCGCTTTTGATTTATTTCGTCAAATATTGAAGACGATCATTATTCATAATGGCTATGCACGGAGGGAAAGGGACGTCATTAATCACCCTCGGCCCATTCAAGTTCAAGGGGTGCTTAGATTTTAACGAAGAGTCCGTTTTTGCACCGCCAGCTCAACAAATCATTCTATGAAATTGTGAATTATTAAGTTATAATGCAGTGCATTAAAAGATTTATGAAGGTTCCGATAAAAATGGCCTGACGAACTGCATCAAATTTTTCATCAATTACGAACACAAAAGAAAAAAACATTGAGATTCTTTAAACTTATTTTTCGTTTTAAAATTTGTTGTATTTTATTGATCGACCTTTAACGAATGACGTGTTGCAACAATGCAAATTTTCAAGAGATAGGCAAGAAACACTTGGTCTCAGGTGAAACTTGACCTGAGTCTTCTCCAGGCTCGTTGGAATTGCCAGTCGACTATACTGACAGTGATTGAATTACGGGATCAGGCGTTCCTGGCAATTGAGTGCGGAAAGACAAGTGGAGTAATCGAGTTGCTTCCTGAATCTTCTGTTTAGACGAATGCCTGCTGACGTTTCAGTCCTCCGTCTGCTGAAAATAATAACATTAACGCTAATTCCATAAGATGGCCCTTTCTATCATCTAAGGTGAAAAAGCCATCAAATAAAAAACAAAACTTTATAAATGATATTACGTCGAGTCATATTGTATTTCCTGTCATCTGAGTCAGTAAGAACGGGTTCTATTGCTTTTTTATAAAGGTGGTTTTACCGAGATTCAAAAAGTATTGTTTTTAATCATCTATTTTAAGAATGTAGAATATGAACATAGAATTTTCTCTTATAACAGCAAATATTTATTTTTTCTATAGGCAAAAATTATTTTCTGTATATTATTAAATATATTGGATTAATTCATATTGGATTGGGTGGTTGAAAGAAAGAAGTGTGTGTGTGTGTGTGTGTGTGTGTGTGTGAAAGAGAGAGATATAGAGAGAGCAAAGATAGGTAACAAGAAAAAAATATACAGACAGAGAGAAGAGAGGGAGAGATACATCGAAAAAAGAATAGATATAATGATAACTGTAAAGACAGATATAAGAGAGAGGCGATATAAGGTGCATGAGAGAGAGAGAGAGAGAGAGAGAGAGAGGAGAGAGAGACATCGAAAAAAAAGATATAATATAGATAACTATAAATACAGACATAAAAGAAAGGCGAGAGAAAATATGTGAGATAGATAGATAGAAAGAGAGAGAGAGAGAGAGAGAGAGAGAGAGAGAGAGAGAGAGAGAGAGAGAGAGAGAGAGAGAGNATGTAATTTTGTCGTTATATTAATTACAACAGGTTATTTTAATGTAAACCAAATTAAACGAGATCAAAAATGCATAAGTTTTTGTAAACATTGTTTAATTATGATGGTTAGGAGTAACTTTATTTAAAACAATTTAAAAAAATTAAAACAATTTACAAACAATTTATTAGATGGTTGTGCTCATAAAATTTAACTAACAATTTATTACAAGGTTTTGCTCTAAATAGTGCATTAAGAACAAAACCCCACAAAAAGTTGCGTTGCGATTGTGATAGTGATTGTGACAAACGCTGTGGAATGTACGCGACATGTGCTTGCGTCGGATAGATGTGCACACCCCACCAAAACGTGGCAAGGCGTCGGGTAGCATCGGGTAGCGTCGCATGGCGTAGCATCGGGTAAGTGTGTTTCTGGCTTAAACTGACAGTATATATATATATATTAGAGACAGAGAGAGGTTATATGGCTGATAGCAGAAGGAAACGATTTATGAACAAATAAGGAAATAATGAAAGAAAGAGAGAGAGAGAAACAGAGAGAATGAATAGTAAAAAGAAGGGGAAAGAAAAAAAGCCAAAGTGATGGAGAAAAAGGAAATGAGAAAGAAAGAATTGATTAACTAATATGGTTTTATTTATGGCCGACAAAAAGATAAGATAAATAAAAATACAGTATATAGTCAGATAGAAGAAAGAAGGAAAAGAAAGTTTTACATAGATAGATAGAGAAAGAGTTTGAGAGAGAGAGGGTGGGAGGTTAAGAAGTCGACAGCAGAACGAAGCGATTTATTAAGGATGAAAGAAAGAAGGAAATAAATAAATAAAAAAAAAGAGAGAGAGAGAGAAAGAGAGAGAGAGAGAGAGAGAGAGAGAGAGGTTAAATGACTGATAGCACAAGGAAACGATTTATGAAGGAATAAAGAGATAATGAAAGAAAGAGAGAGTGAAACAGAGAGAATGAATAGTGAAAAGAAGGGGAAACAAAAAAAAGCGAGAGTGATAGAGAAAAAGGAAATGAGAAAGAAAGAATTGATTAACTAAGATAGTTTTACTTATGGCCGACAAAAAGATAAGATAAATAAAAATACATTATATAGGCATATAGAAGAAAGAAGGAAAAGAAAGTTTTACATAGATAGATAGAGATAGAGTTTTAGAGAGAGAGGGTGGGAGGTTAAGAAGTTGATAGCAGAAGGAAGCGATTTTTGAAGGATGAAAGAANGAGGGAGAGAGAAAAGGAAGAGCGTGAAAAATGTAAGTATCTTTATTACTAACATTTTCTTAGTTTATATTTAACGTATCCTTTATGAATGTTGTACAATTTTCGTTATAAAATGTTAACAGTGTTTTATACCATTGTTATAAAAAAATAACGATATTCCGAGAAATTTATGTTCCAACAGCAATACCCTAAGGATGAAAGCAAAAAAAACTTTTTTTATACCCTCCGAGGTTTTATCCTAAGTTCCTAAACCCGTCCGTATTCTACTTTAGTGTTAGTTTAAAATCGTGACGGATCACGGGTCAAGAATACCTTTCTCAGAATCGTGCAGTTCGGGTTCAAGCCGATTTTCATCAAGGTAACAAGGAAGGCGATGGTACAAGGGTATTTTTTTCCCCTATGTCCATTGTAAATCGGATTGGGCCAAATCCTCTTTCGACGATGATGTTATAAAAATCGAAGGGAAATACTGCATAATTAAAGTGAAAGAATGGCATCTGCGGATGCGAAAAGCAAAAATCTGGGTTGAAAAAATCTTCCCATCCATTTCAGATTAATCCGCTAAGAGAATATTATCGAAACGATTTTTAGTTTTCTCCCTAACCCTGTACAAAAATACTAAGTAAAATAACTGAAAATTATTTTTTTTTCTGAATATATTCATACGGTCTGACAGTTGTGAAAACGTAGACCAATTAGATAAATAACGTTCTTTTTAAAAAACACCATTCTTTCAATTCAAATTAAATCTGTCAGTTCTCTGTATTTATATAACAGTAAATTTAAAACTAAAGATACGTTTATTTTATTTATTTTTTATAAATAATCAAGTCTCATTGGATGATTTTATTTAACGCACGAAATCTCCAACAAGTTTTTACTTGTATCATAAATACTTTAAATAATAATTATATAGTAACATATTTAACGGCGTGTGGTACTGAATTTGAAAAGTCCTGCTTACAAAGTTTTTTTTTTCGATTCTCCATCCGAATATAATTAACTACCCCAAATGGAGATCTAAATTGCAGCAATTAAATTGTGTTTTTTCAGCTTAATTTAACTCCCAAGACTTGTCTTCCATCAAAAATATATATTATTAAAACTTTAATTTCCAAAAGGCCCTAGGGAAAGAAATAATTACGACCAACAACAGAAATTACCCAAAAAAATGATCTACTTTATCTGACATCTGACAGTCTACTACGTTGTACAATCTGCAAGTAAAATGACCAAAAAAATCCAATAAACGTACCCTAGCTCCTTATAGCTTTTGCCCCCACTGTGTACTATTCCGTCATTCTCATCTTTGCCGGATCAATTGAAAAGCTTCTACTTAAAGTTTGATATCAGCTTTCGGCACATCATCAATTAGAGAAACTGTGATTCTCCTGGTAACTTCTCTAACATCGCAGTTGTAAAAATAATAAATAAATATGTGTTAATTTATGAAAGGATTCTGCGTGTTTTGCAAGTGTTTGCAAGGCGAGAATCTATGGAAAAATAATTGGACTGAAGTCTTACTGAATTCAGCGGAATTAATATTTTATCTTATAACGTTTTGTTTTGCTATTTCACTCATGCACGTCGAAAAATATTCAAAGATTAACCATCCGATAACGCCAGAATTTCCAAATATAAAATTTCTATTTGCTCATTGTTTTCTAGTTGTTAAGAATCAAAACATGATGTACAATATGTAAAAATTATTATTGTATGAAGGGGATGGTGAGATGTAAAGTTGAGGTAGCGATCTGTGTTTATTGGTTTTTGATACCAATCTGGTCGATACACTCGTAATAAAACAACCAGATGGCACATTAATCACAGATTGGTATCAAAAACCAAGAAACACAGATTACTACCTCAACTTTACATCTCACCATCCCCTTCATACAATAATAAACAGGGCCAAAGGTTACTTCACAGAATGATTACCCTGAGCCATGAATCATTTCACCAGAAGAACATAAACATATACAAGCAAATCCTCCATAACAATCTCTACACTAAACACATAATTAACAGAATAATCAACAATTACAACTCAACACTAACACCATCCACTGTTACTAATAATACTACATTAAGTCTATCGAATACAAACAAGCCAGCATACATTTCCATGCCATTTATCCAAGGCCTATCACATAAACTAAACACATTTCTCTCGTCCGATAACTTCAAAATAGCTCTCAAAAATTGTAAAACAATTCAAACACTTTTTTTCAAAATTAAAGATCCCACACCAATAACAAAAAAATCTGACGTAATCTACAAGATCAACTGTTTAAACTGTCCGGCAACTTACATCGGTCTTACATCCCAATTTCTGGACAAGAGAGAAAAACAACATATTTATAATTGCAAAAAACCCAAGCAAAATCCTACAGCACTCGCTATCCACCATTTCCACCTCAAATAAAGCATTTGTACTCAAAGTGTTTCTTTTATGAAAATTGGACTCTTAAGGGGCAACATATTTTTCCATTACAAAATCCATATTAGCCTATGGTATTGTTTCCTGGGGAGGTACTAATAAATACTACACCAATACTCTGGATGTAACAACAAACTCACTTCTTAAAATTATTTTACGTAAACCGTATAGGTATAATACGAAAAAATTATACAATGAACTTAATGTAATGAATCTATACGAAATATTTATGTCTGTATATATATATATATATATATATAATATTGTAACTGCTTACATCAGAGAATATAACACAAGACACAATTCATTGGCTAACTCACATTTTTACAATGTAAAAACTACGAAAGATTATAACTGTTCATTAAATTTATTTAGAAATCGTGAGATGCGGTCTGGTGTGATGTAGGTTTCAGAAAAACATTTTCTTTGTCGTGCCAACGTTTCGATCTTTATTGAGATCATCTTCAGGGCCTGGGATTTACAAGCATTGTTTATATATTACAATTACTATTTATTACACTATTGATTAAACACAATTCTCTTGTCCGATAACTTCAAAATAGCTTTCAAAAATTATAAAACAATTAAAACATTTTTTTCCAAAATTAAAGAGCCC